TTATAGGACCACCTTGTTCATGTTTCCAAGACTGCTTTGAGCTGACGATTTTAACTTAAAGGGATCCATGATTACTTGTAACAAACTTTATTTGAGAAATATTTATTTTAGATGTAAAAACAATACAGTAAAATATTGTGGGCTGTTTAATTTTTATAAATTTAAATAAAATACTGTCACACGGACGTCACCATGTTTTTTATGCTGCAATGCATTCTGGGTAAATGAGATATGCTAGGTCCTGTAGTGCTAGCTCTATCCAGTTTTTTTTTTTTAACCATATTGCTCTAACATATTCTTTATTTTCAAAACTTTACCTAAAATGAAATATATAGTCTTCACACTCGTAACCATATTATTTCATATTTGGTAAATCTTTAACAAAATTTCAAAACCTGTGCAAGTTTGCACAAAAACTCTTCTGAACTGTAATTTATAAACCATCTAAACTGTATCATTTAGAACTGGTTCCAGGCTATTTGTATAGTCTGTCCTCTTCAACCTGTTAAAAAGACAAATTACAAGTTTTTTATAACTTGTCTATGTTTTTGTATATTATGAGAAAAAAACTTTACCTTTGAGCTGCAGTAACATTAATCAGAGCTTCTCCCACTTCATTCTCTCATAGTGAAGTTGTGGCGCTGCTTTATCGCTAAAAGCTACGTGAAGGAATAACGTACGTTGGGCCCAGCGTATTAAAAATAAACCTAAACCCCTCGCCTTCCACTGAGCTGGCTGCTCATAAATCTTTGTGTTCTATTTCATCCCTACTGACTGCCAGAGGCGGTACTTAAAGCACTGAATGATCATTCTTGCGCATGCGCAGGTCGAGAATTTATGCCAATGTAGTGAACTAGGCCTCCGGTCAAACCTGCCTCTGAAGACCTTCATGGGACAGTAACTGTTATTTCATTGATTTGAATCCAGAAATACAAATTAGCTCATCCAGAGACTTTCTAATTGTATCCTGAACTAATCAATTGAAAGAACACTCTCTTTTTTATATTATCATTACTATTTTACAATATCTTGATAATCAAAAGTGTGTTTAGTTCATACCATTTTTAAATGTTGAAGTGAACCACTCATTTTAAATCAACTGTGAAACAGTATTAATGAATTTTAATCCTCATTCAAAGTAGAAATCAAGTTAAATGTCTATGTTACAAAGTAATTATGCATTTTTGATCTTCTGTCTGAAATGAGAAGGAGTGATGTCGGTCAAAAGTCGGAGACAGTCAAAAACAGGTTATTGGAACGAACTGTCGTGTTTTTAAACCTCTCAGACAGAAACAAGTAAACTGGCACCTGTAAGTCTGTCATTTCTTCAAAATATTTTCTCGTCTGTAACTAACCGTTCCTAAACATTTCTGATGTTTTCTCGACTTGTAATGACCCTCTGACGTCACTAAAGCCACACCCCTGTTGGTTCCTTCAACCAATCAGGACTTCCTAAAAGTGACCAGAAGCAGAACTCTTTAAAAGTCGACACTTCCTAGTTCCATTAGTTAGTTGGTTGGTTCCGTTAGTTCTTCTGGTTCTGATGGAGTTCGGTTGGAGTTCCTCGGAGTTCTTCTGAGTCTCTTGGAGTAGTTCTGGAGTTCTGGAGTTTTTCCACTGCTGAGTGGAACTTCAGACTCAGTTTTCCAGGCTGATGGAGTCATCCATCTCTGTAGGAGCCACGACGCCTCGCTGTGGCTCCACCCGGCGAACGCCCTATAACTGCTGAGGAAGTGTGTTCTGTGGAACAGATTATCTCACGACTTCTGTCGAGTCGCAGCCGCCCTGAGGAGACGCTGAAAGGTAGCGTGCCAGGGACCTCTTGACCGCAACTGACCCATTCTCCGCAAAGGTAAAGAGTCGTCACTGGCTTCACTACAAGTGTACCACAGGGAGCTGCGCTTGAAAGGAGAGTGTTGTTCTGGTCTACAGACTTACATCCTCATCCATCTTTTCTCTCCATTTAAACTCCTTCATTTCCCATCTTTAAAACTCTTCTATCTTGCCAGTAATTAATCCAGATATCTTCAGAAATGTCTGTTGTTTTTATTAAGTAAAACGTGCCAAGTTTTATTAATCAGAGCCGATCAGTATAATCAAGTGTACAATGTTTTGATGTTAAATTTTGATTCTGTTAATAAATGACCACATTTATTTTGATGGGTCAAAGAAAATTAACGTCTCATGTCACTGATTAAACCATCGACAACACAGTACCTCTGTCACATATCTGTCAAGTAGCTCGAAAAAGTGAGAACCCGTTATTAAAAATTGACTGTAGTGGAGCTCTAAGCTAACTGAAGCTAACCTAGCCTTCTACATCACTACACCAACATAGTCACGTGTGACACCCGGGACACCGGTGAGTCTATATAAGCACGTGACAATGGTAGCCCAGTCCCTTTCATCTTCTCGCATGCAGGTGGTAAGAGGTTTACTTTTCTGCTTGATGCTGGTAGCCTCGAGACTATGGTCGGAGCTGCGGGACTGTCTCGCCCTCCAGAGGCTGTGCAAACTGGTATCAGTATCTTCTAAACAATTGTACTTCAACTGGTAAGTTGTTTTGTTTTTATTGACCTGGTGGTAGCGTGTTCGCTAGCCGCGTCGGGTTTCCTTGTTGGCTGGAAGTATGGCGTATAGCTATTTTTCCTTGGTTTACAGAAAGCACTGCAGCCGCGTTCCTGCTTGCTTGTTTTCAGTTGTGGGTGTAGCAGCCATATTCGGCTTCGCCCACCTTTACCTGTTCAAGCTCGTGCTCATATTGTACAGCTGCGTCCGCTTCTGTTTGTTACATTGCAGCCGTTTTCGTGCCTGCCTCTCATTTACAGTTACAGCCGTGTTCGGCTTGACTTTATTTGTTACACTGCAGCCGTTTTTCATGCTTGCTTTTCATTTACATAGTCACAGCCGTGTTCAGCTTGACTTTATTGTTACACTGCAGCCGTTTTACGTGCTTGCATTCCTTGAGTTGTGCGGCTGTGCTCGGCTCGCCCTTTTTCATTATAGTGCAGCCGTGTTCGCGCTTGCATTTTTTTCATTATAGTGCAGCCGTGTTTGCGCTTGCATTTTTTTCATTATAGTGCAGCCGTGTTCATGCTTGCATGTTTTTCTTGAGTTGTGCAGCCGTGTTCGGCTCGCCTCCCTTTCTTTAATCGCAACCGTGTTCGTGTTGCATTTTTTACCTGTGACTCTAAGGCAGTCATAGTACTTCTGACTGCTTTTATAAGCTAGCAGTTGGGGAACCCCTGGTGGCGTTTTTCTGCTCGACCGGGTTCCCTGGTCCATTCGTTCATCGACTCCAGCGTCAAGAGTGGCGTTTCCTGCTCGACCTGACGCTTCTAGTCCTGTGAGCCGTAATATGTTGGACGTGCAGTACTGCAGAGCCTGTTTGGCCCCTCTCCAGTTGGAGGATGGACATGATCTGTGCCCCCCTTGTTTGGGGCCGGATCATCTGAAGGAGGCCTTGACAGAAGCGGCCTGCCCCAACTGTTCTGTTCTGCCCTTGTCCCTGCGGGCAGCTCGTTTGGCTGGTTCTGAGATTGCGAGCCAGCCTGTAAAGCATGTGACCCCAGAGGCCTTGGGACCTCCAAGAAAGAGGACCAAGAAAAGCTCCAGGGGCTCAGAGGGACTATTTGGGCAGGTGGCCCATCTCACCTCTGAGCTGGAACAGATAAAGGCATTGCTCGAGTCCCTGAGAGAGAGGGACAATGCAGGTCTGACTGGGGACCCTGACCTGGGACAGAACATGGGCTCAGGGACCTCCGCTTTTGAAGAGGATGCTATCTCCCTGGCAGCATCCGGAACTGATTTCCAAGAGCAGTTCGAGTCTGGCTCGTGTGTGCCGACTGCCAGTTTGCACACCTCCTCCTTCTTTCAGCCAGAGGACAGTTCCATAGTGGGTGCTTTGAGAACTGCTCTTGCTCAGTTGCACCTGGATGTCCCACAGAGCCAACCCGCTTCTTCCAGCACTTTCTTTAAACGTCCTTCAGCTAGGTCGTTCTTTATGGTTCCCCCTTCGGCTGAATACATAAAGGAGGTACATGCCTGCTGGATGGATACTAAGGCTTTCTCATGACCGACTGCAGCTGGCAGGGCCCTGGCGGCCATGCAGGATGTGCCGAAGTTTGTCTTGGGCCATATGCCTTCTGTCGAACCTGCCATAGCGTCCCTCATTTTACCTCCGGATGAGGCTTTGAGGGCTAATGCCAGGTGCCCTCGTCCTCAGTGTCGGGCCACAGATGACCTGCTCTGTAGAGCTTATGACTCGGAGTCTCGATTGGGGTGACTGGGTAACTCGCTGTCGCATTTGTTACTGGGCCTCTCGACCTCCTTGGAGGGCTTTGCGGTTGATGCACCTACTCAAGGCCTGATGGACGCTTACCTTCATGCCTTTGCTCTTTTTTCAAGGTAGATTGGCCGTGTGTTATCTACTCTCGTCCAGGCACGTCGCCAAGTTTGGCTGGAGCAGTCTCCCCTGACTGAACCCTGTAGGAGGAACATGATGAGTCTTCCTGTGGTTCATGGGGAGCTGTTTAGTTCTGCTGCACTTGCAGCCTTGGAACGTTCAGCCCAGGCCACCCGTACCAGACAGCAATTGTCCGGCGTTTATTGCAGACACTCTCGGCGTCCTGCTAGAGGTGCCTCTGCATCCTCCTCATGCACTTATCCGGCCCCACCTACACCCTTCGTGGGGCAGTCGTGGCCTGCTGCAGGGCCTGCTGCAGGGCCTGCTGCAGGGCCTGCTCATAGCCAATGGGCTCTGCCCAGAGGTCGTGCTCCCATCCCTCTTCAACGCGGGCAGCCCTCTCGGCATCCCTCCCGCCCTCCTAAAGGCAGGGGAGCTCAGAGATGACAATTGAGAGCAGGTGGTGGGACACTTTACCCCATTCCAGCTCAACCGCTGGGCCACTCTCGTGCCTGATTCATGGGTTGTGTCAACAATATCTCTGGGCTACGTGCTACAGTTCCGCCGCCGCCCTCCCGTTCCTGATCAGATCAGAATGACAGTCATTCGCGACCAGGTGAAAGCTCAGGCACTGAACTACGAAATAGACGCCTTGCTGGCCAAGGCTGCTATAGTGCCTGTCAACCCCCTGCGGGATCCAGGGGGCTTTTACTCAAAGTATTTTTTAGTCCCTAAAAAGACAGGTGGGCTACGGCCAATTCTTGACCTAAGAGGCCTGAATGTGTTTTTAAAAACTATCCCTTTCAACATGTTGAGCATCAGAGAAGCACTCCAGGCAGTCTCTCCAGGCGACTGGTTCACCTTGGTCGACTTGAAGGATGCATATTTTCATGTACCGATTGCGCAGCACCATTGGCAGTTTCTCCGCTTTGCATTTCAGGGCAAGCATTTTCAATTCAGAGTTCTTCCATTCTGTCTTTCTCTGTCCCCCCATGTGTTCACCCGGTGTGTGTCAGCAGCCCTGTACCCTCTGCAGGTCAAAGGGTTGAAGATCCTGCCCTACTTGGATGATTGGCTGATCTGTGCAACCAACACAAGCTCAGGCAGCTGTGGACACACAGATGGTGCTCGATCACATAGATCTATTGGGTCTTCATGTGAACTGGGAGAAGAGCAACTTAATTCCCTCTCAGGAAGTCACGTTCCTGGGAACTACTATGAACTCCCTCACCATGCTGGCTTGCCCATCGCCACAGCGTGTCAGTGGGATTCTACAGATGTTGCCCGCCTTCCTGCCCAGCCATGTACCCCTCTTCATTGCGTACCTTTGCCTGTTAGGCAAGCTGACTGCTGCCTCCACAGTGGTACCTCTGGGGCTGTTGTCTCTGCGCCCTCTACAGATGTGGCTCAACAGCCTGCGGCTGGATCCGACTTGTGCAGTGCACCAACGCAGGAGGTTGCTGGTGTCCCCTCAATGCCTCGCTTCACTGGCTCAGTGGTGAGATGCAGTGTTTATGGTGAAGGGGGTCCCACTGGGCTCTCTGCCGTCTCGGAGGGAGGTTGTTTGTACTGATGCATCCACCACAGGTTGGGGAGCATCGTGGCAGTGACGGATTGCCCAAGGAACGTGGTCTCCACAGCAAAAGGTGAGGTACATCAATGCCTTGGAGCTGGACGCTGTGCGGCTGGCACTAAAACACTTCCTCCCAGGCCTGCGTGGGAAGCATGTCCTGGTGCGTTCCGACAATACTTCTGTGGTTTTTCATGTCAACCATCAAGGTAGAACACGTGAGTTGAGAGTTTAATAAAATGTTGTTTTTCTGACTATTTAACCTGTGATATAAAGAGTTTTTGGTGCATGTTGTTGTGAATCACCCAAGAGGCCTGAGGAGGAGGCTTGGCCTGCCCCCTCCCGCACGCTATCTCGAGGTTTCTCACCCTAGCTTCTCACGCTGTCACGCTATCTCGAGGTTTCTCACAGACTTTAAGTCTAAGTGGGCATGTTTTGTTTACTGGGAGATGTTCCCACGTAATGCAGAAAGTATTAAAGTGTAACACTCAGAATAAGAGTTGGAGTCTGCTGTGGATCCTGATCCGATGCCCAGCCAATTGATGTTACCTTTCCACTCGGATTGAAACGGCTCTCCGGTCTGGTGTCACGGAGAGGGGCTTTTACATCAATGTTTGATTTGTACTGCATGTACTGCTGGCTTTGCTTGCTGTTTTGATCTGTGGCGGTTTAATAAATGGCACTTATTATTCTAGCAGAAACAGCCTGTGAGTGTTTATTCATTGCTCCGATCATTCCCCGAACCTGTACTTTGTTTAAGATAATTTCATAAAACAACACGGTCGCTGACATTGCTGCTACTGACCCAGAACCTCTTACTTTGGGCAGCCCCCTTCTTTGCCAGCCTGAGGGCAGCCCACATTCCAGGAGTGCGGAATGGACCGGCAGATTTTCTGTCTCGGGGACACCCACCACCTGGGGAGTGGAGGCTCCATCCGGAGGTGGTGAGGGTAATTTGGGAGAGGTACGGCATGGCACCTGTGGACCTGTTTGCATCTCAGGAAACGACACACTGCCCGCTTTGGTTTTCTCGGGCAGGCAGTGCCAGTCCCCTGGGTCAGAACACACTGGCACACAACTGGTCCAGGGTGCTGCTGTATGCTTTTCCGCCGCTTCCCCTGATAGACCCAACACTCCTGAGAGTCCTTCAAGAGGGGTATCAAGTCCTCCTAGTGGCTCCCATCTGGCCCGGGAGAACTTGGTTTCCACTGCTGCACAGGCTCTGTTGCAGCTCTCCAATGCCTCTACCCCACATGAAGGACCTCCTGTCACAATTGAGGGGTCAGCTCCTGCACCCTGACCCCAGTCGCCTCCGGCTCTGGGCTTGGCCACTATAGGGCCTGGCATTACCTTCTCAGAGTATGACGGGGACGTCGCACATACAATGAATAATGCCAGGGCCCCTTCCACACAACTGTTGTACACATATAAATGGAAGGTCTTCAGCAACTGGTGTCGTGCCAGACACGGGGAGCCTGTACACTGTCCTCTTTCTGTTGTTCTTACTTTCCTTCAGGCGCTACTTTCTCAGGGCCGGTCTCCATCCACCCTGAAAGTTTATGTTGCTGCCATCTCTTACTGGCATACGGTGGTAGGTGGGGAGACAGTAGGTCATAACAAGGATGTGTCCTTGTTTCTGAGAGGCGCCAGATGTCTGCATCCCCCCACACGCCTCGTCATGCCTGTGTGGGATCTCTCTCTGGTCCTTGCTGCCCTGCGGTCTGTTCCGTTTGAGCCCTTGATGGATGTGAGCCTTGAGTGCTTGTCTAAGAAGACCGTGTTTCTCCTGGCCATGGCTTCGGCCAAACGAGTAGGTGAACTACATGCACTGTCTGTTCAAGAGCACTGTTGCCTTTGGAACCCAGCTGGTTCGGGTGTTACACTCTGGCCTAACGTAATGTTCCTCCCTAAGGTGGCCTCATCTGCAACCCACTCTCTGCCTCTCCAGCTTGCTTGCATCGATGCAGATGGTGCTGACGAGCCTCTCTGCCCTGTTCGGGCACTGGAAGCGTACATCAGATGGACAGCTTCTCTGCGGCTGTCTGATAATATGTTCATTTGCTATGCAGGGCCTCGCAAAGAGCAGGCGCTTTCAAAGCAGCGCCTTGCGCACTGGATTGTGGACGTGGTGGAACAGGCGTACACTCTGCAGGGCCGCCAGTCACCTGTAGGGGTACGATACCATTCCACAAGGAGCATTAGCGTGTCATGGGCCGTTATGAATGGAGTCACTATGGAGGCAAAATGTGCAGCAGCCTCCTGGTCATCCCCAAATACCTTTGCCAGGTTCTACAGGGTAAACCTGGCTGCCTTTCACCCGTTGGAAGGGATCCTATCACAGCACCCATCTTCATCTCAGTAAGATGGGCACACTTAAATTTTGTTTCTTCTTGTGGGTGTGATTCCTCAGGACTCTGTTGGCAATTGTCATCTAGTGCTTTAAGCACCACCTCTGGCGGTCAGTAGGGATGAAATAGAACAAAAGTTACAGCTGTAACTACGGTTCTATGAATCCCGGATGACCTCCAGAGCGCTCGGCCCCTCGGAATCATCGCGTTTTGCGAGAAGATTAAGGGACTGGGCTACCATTGTCACGTGCTTATATAGACTCACCGGTGTCCCGGGTGTCACATGTGACTATGTTGGCATAAATTCTCGACCTGCGCATGCACAAGAATGATCATTCAGTGCTTTAAGCACCGCCTCTGGCGGTCATCCGGGATTCATAGAACCGTAGTTACAGCTGTAACTTTCGATATAGCAGGGGATGGAGTGAGAAATCTTTGCAGCCCTGTTTGGGGAATTAGCTGGAAATTTGTTGCAGAGTTTGTTGGTTGACTGCTTCACTTTTCATCTTTCTTATGCACATTTGTTGTATTTCCAAAATACATTACCGTAATTTTGTTTTACACTTCTTGAAAACAACCGTGCTCTTGTCAAGCTCCGTCTTCCCCGGAACATTGTAGGATCCAAAATGACTTTACACTGACTTTTAACGACGAAGGAGTGGGTTGAATCGCGCTGTCCTCCGCTCCATGATAGTGGTCTCCATTTAGAGGGAGATGGCTGAGGTTTTTGCAGCGTAGCAGCAGAAACTTTAATACGTACCTCATACATGGCTGCAGCTACACAAAGTGATCCATCTGCAGTAACGTGAACATTGTTCACAAACACGTTTGTGTGCACAGATATTTTCAGCTGTTTTTTTTTTTTTATTGCAACTGATATATTCTGAAAAAGATGTGTGTAAAAACTAATTTGCTGTACGGTGGCCTACAAGGCCAAATTCTACGGTGGCCGATTGGACACGTAATGCGATATGCAGTACGTTCAGGGGTAGGAGCAAAAAAAAAACCTGCATTGTAGAATCAGTTTATGGGCCTTTAGATTCGATTCAGAATCGCCATGACTAGGAATCTAGATTCTTTAATAAATCTATTTTTTTCTGCACCCCTAGTAATGTTAACCTTCCTGCGTTTACTCTGTAGATTCCAGTACAGAAGGGACCTAACCGCATCATCAACCCAGCATGCAATACAGGTGAAAAAATGGCAACCTCCATGGGTGAAAAATATAACAAAAGATATAACGTTTTTGAAGAAATTATGAGTTTTTACATATCACAAAAAGCAATTTTTAAGTTAATAGTAAAATTACAAGATATTTAGGTTAACATGTTCAACTACTCATGGATCCCTTTAAGCAGACAGCAGATATTGATCAATAGAGCTATATCACTGGATGAACCACCAGCAAAACTGGAAACTACATCTGAACCTCCACTTCCTCATCACGTTGACGGACAGTGCCACAAGAAATGAACCAATTTACAGAGAGATATTGGAAATGATGGTGCAGCATGGCTACACCTGACTTATGAACAATGCTGAGGTAAGCTAAAGAAAATTTGAAGTTAGATTATAGGTAGATTAAGGACCACAACAAGCAGAGTGGCTGAAACACAATGACCAGTTATAATTCCGCCCACAGAGAGAGGAAGCAATAACACAGTCACAAATCAGCTACACCTGAGAAGAACCGAGAAGGTGAGAGATGAGTGGAGTCGCACTTATCAATGGCAAAGCAGCTTTGCACATCTGGAAAGAAACATCAATGCAGAAAAGTATAAAGTTTTAGAACATTTACTTCCATCTAGACAGATTTTTTTTGTGGAAGGCCTTGCATATTTCAGCAAGACGTTAATCCACAAATTGCATCCATTACATCAGAATGGCTTCATGGATGCTGAACTGGCCCGCCTGCAGTCCAGACCTCTCATTTAATGAAAGCATCTGGCTCATCATGAAACAAAAAACTAATTCTGCAAAGACCCAGAGCCAAAGAACAGCTAGAACCCTCCGTCAGACCAGAATGAGAGAATGTTCTCCTCCAAAACCTCCAGCAGCTGCTCTCCTTAGATGTTTACTGTTGGTACAATGGCTTGGTTTTAATGATTTTTATGTTTACTGTGTTTCATGTGAAATGTGAGTTCATGAGATTTGAAAACACTTCATTTTGTTTTGTTTGTTTTACACATCACATCTTTTTGTTTGAATGTTCATGAAGCCTTCACTCTGTTGTGATCCATTTTTCTTCCGTACGTTTTCGGTGCGAGTCTCGTCCCGCAGTTTTCAATCTATTTCAACAAATCAAAACATTCAGCTCCTTCAGGACAATCCTGCTGTGACTTTTGGTATTGGTGCAGCTTTAGCTTTTTGAAATATTTAGATTTTTCTGTCATTTTTTTGTCTCATAGAAAATTAATTGAGCTCATTTTACATCCTTCAGCTCTTTAGATCTGTTACAACCTTTTACGGCTCCTTTCACATTTTGTTCTGATTCAGCTTCTTTCAGCTTCCTTGTGCAAATTTAAACTTTTTTCAGCTACTTTCAGCTGTTTTTTTTTTTTCAATTTTGTGATTCTTTCTGATTCTTTCTGCTAACTATAAAACATTTTTGTGCTTCTTCTAACTTCTTTCTGCTAATTTCAGCTTGTTATGCTCCTTTCAGCTTATTTCTGCAAGTTTTAGCTTTTTCTGCTATCTATGTAAAGTGCTCTGTGTTGTCACCACTGTATGTTCCCATACAGTGGCTAAATTAGTTTTCATTCATTCATTCAACCTTTATTTAAACAAATAAGTCACACTGAGGCTCAAAGACTCATTTACAAGTGAGACCTGTTTGGACAGACAATAAAGTGGTGAAAGTGACACATAGGGTTTGGAGGCAAAAAAAAAATTCTTAACATGCTGTTAATCTTTGGCTAAAAATTTAAAGCATGAAAATGAAAAGACCTCGCACACAAGCACATAATGACACCAACATTCATGACACCAACATTCGGGGGGGGGGGGGGGGTTGCAAGGGCGGTAAGCATGTCCAACACTCTCAAGGGGGTGCCAAGGTCAGCCAAGGACGACGTCAGACAGAATCCAGAGTCCTGAAATAATGACAGGAAGGTTATTCAGCCGGGCCCCTCTGACTGGTCCATAAACATCCTTGGTGGGAGGGGCAGCACATCAAGGTTTACAGAGCTTCCAGGCGAATTAAGATAAGATGGCCAGTTAGGGAGCTGAATTCAGATAAACACGATTGTTTTGGGGACAGGCAGAACTTTACTGTCTACCTTGAGTCTGTGTCGGTCCTCTCGGTTCCGAAACGTTCAAATCAAATGGCCACACCAATGGTCCGTGTCTGAGAATAATCCCCAAGATCTGATCCATTCTGCCAAAAGCATTTGAGTCTGGGTGCTCGAGGCACAATCTAAGCCATCATATAAGGCAGGCAACCTGACCAGGGCCAAATTTGCTGCCGACAACTTCCTTGTTTGTTGATTGACCAGGAACCAGCCGAATCCAAAAAGCAGGAACCAGTTATCATAAATCCAATTATAAATGCAATCCACAGATAACAGCAGAGATAGACACGTCATCAAGTCTTCAAAGTCGGTGAGATATCCAGCTGCGTGCATGCCAACAGGGCAAATCAGCTCGCCTAAAGCTTGTCTTCTCTTCGAATAAATGTTGTAAAATGTGTTGGGGAACCAACTGACCAAATCCATAAGTTATGATTCGGATGATTTGTAGAAGATAGGCTCTAAGCAGTTTCCCAGCCAAGACAGAGCAAAGCAAAGTGGAGATGGAGAGGAGGGGAAAAGTGTCCAGCCTTGACAAGAGCAAATGTTGAGCAAGTTAACCCATAGCACCTGAGTTACACCCAGGTGGAGCAGTGGGCAGCTATGTAAGCGCCCGAGGAGCAATTAGGGATTAGGTATCTTGTTCAGAGACACCACGGCATGTGGGCATGGCTGGGGATCAAACCTGGGACTTTTGCGTCC